CGGAGTTCTATCGCAAAGGCATTAATAACCTTCCCATTAGATGGCAGCAACGTATAAATAATAATGGCAACTATTTTGATTTAATAAATTTGTTACAAATATAAAAACTAAACAATTTAGATTTTCAGTACAAATCGGCAATTTCATACTTTAACCCCTATTATTAAAAATATATATATTAATTACAAATTTTCAAAAAGTGTTTCTGTGTTTCTACCACGAGTTTACTGAGACCACAGAACAATAAACACAGTAGAAGTGGTTAGTTATCGTCTGATGCGTGCCAACTATAGGTCTCGGAAAGACCTATGTGAGCACAGTCAGCCATTTACGCTTTGTATGGTATGGTTGCGTCATTCTTTCGTGCAAATTCTCTAACATCCTAAAAAAATGCCTTATTGTGCAGTTTTGGAGTGCAATAAGTCGCACCAAAAATGTTACCCGTGGCGGTATTTCATGCCATCGGAGTCTTATCTTAATAAATTTTCAATTTTCTGTTTACCGAAATAATTTTATTGTTACAAGAAACGAAAGTAAAGCATATATCCCTGCAAAATGGTCGCTTCTTTTTTGGAGAACTAAATTAATAACTACAATTCGTCGTCGTTCAGCAATTTACCGCTAGATAGCAGCACATTGATTGAAATTTCAATATAATATCAAAACGTCGCAACTTGCAATAATAGATATTGATGGTATTTGACTTTCAACGCTACAGCAACTGAGTAAAGTTTAAATTATATTAACAACGCAGAATTTGCTATTTCTTTTAAATTTAAAACTACGACCAATCAATATCAAGATGTAGTGTTTCAAATTAAGAATGTGTGAGGTTTGGCGACACCGGTTCTGACAGTATCTGAGGCTTAAGGCCCTTCCATTGATTTTTTTCTTCCTTGACTGCGACAGTTGTCGCTAGCAACCGCGTAAATTACTTCACAATTGTATATGGCAAATTATACAGCGCCTCTAGCGGTCACAAAAAGTAACTAACAATTTGTATTTACTATTATTAACAAGTTAACATTTTGTATATGAACATTTTTGAAGGTCGCTAGCGATAACTGTCGCTGTAATCTCGTAGTAGAAGCACTGGCTTGACAGTATTGTTTATTTGAAAAGAGCAACCTCTAGAGTTTCTTGCTCGTTCTTAGTGAAATCAGCACAGCAAAAAATTACGTTTTGTAAAATTTTACCTATTAATTATTTGACTATGATACTTTTATTTATTTATGGTCAAAGAACTTATAATATTTAATTACTTATATACTTAGTTGTTAGACAGGATGATGAAGACCGGTTACCTGTATAGTGCTAAGCAGCATAGCTGTGAAGCCCATTGGCACAGCTGTGGCCGACACTCGTTCCTTGACGTCGTAGACCACTATGCGAACTACGGCATCGCCTGTTAGCCCGTCACTCGCCCGGAACAGTACGGTCTTCGAGAAACACGGGTTACTGCATGTCTGAAATTGTATCACCTATTGTACTGACCATAACAAAGCAGTCTAACACGCGGCTGGGAATATGGAAAGTCAACGCCCAGTAGAGCTCCTTGTGAAAGAGTTAATCCAGGGAAGTACCTGCCACCACTATACTCTAGCCAAATTCGATGTAGAATAAATGTCAACAAACAAAGGGTTTTCATCTAAGACTATTTCACAGTTACCACATTATTTTTTTCCGATTTTACTTGGGCTATTGTTAATGCTAATCTTGAAGTCATGACTGTGATGAATTTTGTTTAATAAAAGTTTCGTATCACCTAAAAATAACATACCACAACAACAAACCGGTAATTATTTATTTATGAAACTGTGTCATCTCTAATTTGAAGGGAGAGATTGCAAACAATCGAGTTTGAGTAGTAATTCAAGTTTAGAATCGGAAATATATCGCAAATTGAGAATGATAACGTCACTAATACAAATATTTTATTTTTATTTTTAACGTCATCTTGGATTTGAGAGTACGAACTTTTATAATGCAATGAACATTTCCGCATGTTTAAATAAAATGTAAGCACATTACCTCTGGTCTCACTCGCTCCTCATTAGCACCTGACCCCAATTTTACAGTCCACAACACCCTTTTTAAACCCAGTCTTAAAAAAGAACTGCGCAAAAGACTTATAAAAATTTATTCTGCTCGGTAGAAGATTTGTCAAGTATAAAAACTGATTGCTCTCAAATGTAGCAGGTGAAATCAATTTCGTCACTAAAAAAATCAAGTGTCTGGAGTGGGCATTAAAGTTTATCAAAAACAGTTTACTCTGTAGTAATAAGAAAACCGACCTCAAAAGTCATTCATCCCCTAGTTTTACCACCCTTAGAGGTGGAATATTTTCTTCAAATTTGAATGGGACCACATCTGAGGTACACTTTTTCCAACAAAAAAGAATCAGCAAAATCGGTTCAAAAAGTGAGTTATCACGTAACGTACATACAAAAGAACATACAGTCGAATTGACAAGCTCCTCCTTTTTTTGAAGGCAGTTAAAATAATGCAAGATTTTCGTATAGTGACGGTATTAAAGTTAACGTGCGATATTATCCTCTGAATTGTGTTATATTTTGTGTTACTTTAAATAACGGGTTGGCCAAAAAGTCGGTTTTTACCACTAGCTAACTTTAAACGTAAAAATATTTTTTTCTTTTAAAATATTATATTGGCTATGGTCATTTTTTTAATTTTATTTTAACGCGCATTTTTGAATCGTAAAGGCGTTGTATTTCATTGTGATAATGCAAAAGCACGCACATCTTTAGATTTAGTTCGGGATGTGTTACCTCATCCACCGTACTCACCCGACTTAGTAAAAATCTGACGAGGCTGCTTCAGATTTTTAATTATTTCAGTGTTTCGAAAATTCTATAAACAATCACGATTTTCAAAGCGAAGAGACCAAACCGACAGTCAAACGACACTTAGAACTGTATTTTATAAGACACGAATTTTTATGAAAGAGGAATTCCAAAATTACCTTTCAGGTAATGATTGGATGGCAAAAGATTCTAGATCGACAATACATAATTGATTAAAATTTGATAATTATTTTTTAAAACTCTGATACCCCACGGACTTACTGATAATCCCAAAATGTAACATAGGTAACAGCTAAAGCATATTATCAAGAAAAAGGTCATAAAATGACACTGCGTTACCTTAAACGAATATAAATCTTATATCCCGAGTGTTAAGGTAAACTTTTCTTTGCTAAAGCGATTTTGTGTTAAAAACACAATAGGTTACCAACGCAATCGTAACGTGTCCGTAAAAGTCGAACAGTCCCAAAGCATGGACTTTTAAAAAAAGTACAAGCATTTTCTTTTTAGATATGATTAAAAAATAATATGCTGAAACTTGGATTATTGCAGGTGGGCTAAGAGGTATAAGTGTACCAGAATGTCGTAAATGCGAGTTACTTCAAACTGCAAACATAAATAAATCTAACACCCACAATGTAATTGATATATTTTTGTTTAATATTAAAATGTGTCAGACATTACTTACCTTTCTCACACGCAAATTCATACAGAGCTTAAAACATTGTACGAGGTTAGACCAAGTCTGGTCAATTAAAAAATATGAAGTATCTCGTACATTTTTTCTGACTAGATATTGATGTCGCCCACTACAAATTTAAATTTGTCTTAAGTCCCATCAGGATCCCGAATCAGAACTCTTCGCCGATATCTAACAGAATCGTTCGACTGGATATCGTTCTCGAATCGAAGTGCGCTTACCGAACTATTCAGAACAATCGAGTTAAAACGTTCGATTCGGATTCGGATACGATATCGTTATCCAGCAACGTTTACGGAGTTAGTCGGCGAATATAGATTATAAGAAAAATGCATTGACTTACAATTATATGGACGTCGGGTCCGCGCTAAAAAGTGTCCGCACTTGTAAGGCGCTAAAATCGTATACAGAGCGCCAAACTCCGCTTTAGTCTTCATTTGTTCTACTGACAGCGCGATACTGCGATGACATTACAATTTAAATTTCGAATGGGACACTTTTTTCGTGGTTTTTGTATTAGACCCGTCGTCCATTTATTTGTAAGTCAATGGAAAAATGAAATCCTTTTATATACATTTTTAAGACTTTAAATGCCAAAATATGGGAATTCATTAGTCTCGCGTTAAAATAAATTAAAATTTAACAAAATCCATATTTTATTTAAAATAATAAAAGATTTCCATATTACATACTTGCTTTGTAAACAATAGGACGTTCGGTAACCTTCATTCGATAACTGCGTTCTGAATAACGTTTACGTAGCCTTTGCCGGACGAGAAGTACGAGTAATCGTCCGGGTGTGACGTCATTGCGGTTCGGTTTCGAATACGACAGTTTGACGTTCGATTCGGTTATTGTGAATAAAAATGAAAAGAAATCGTACGATATCTAATCGAATCGGTCGACAACAGAGTTATCGTAAGATTCTGAATCGACCTGCAGGTTCTGGTACACCTATAGATACTTTATTTTAAGAGAAGTGTTTTGAGTTCTAGGAAGAACCAATAAAATCTTATCAGAATTTCAAGTACACTAAACTGGTCTTTGTTTCTCAACTATACATGAATGATATAGTAGGTATATTTTTGGTGGTGGTTTGTGACTCTAGTTGCGCTTGTATTTTATGCGGAGGGAGGGTGGGATAATTCATCATCATTTTACTTAAGAGCTAGACTCTTGTCGGTGTAGCCTTCTCCACTGCTCACGGTTCATAGCCAGTTCTTTGACCTATTTATAGCAGTTCACTTTGAACTTCTTTTTTATTTGTTCACTACACACCATTCCCGGTCTTACTCTTTTTCTTTTCCCTTTCATGTTCCCCTCAATTATCACTTTCACAAATTCGTCATTACGTAACAAATGTCCAAATATTTACCCCCTTCTCCTCTCCATTGCCTTCAAAAGACTTCCCTCCTCCCCAATCCTTTCCAAAACTTCCTCATTTGATGTCTTTTCAATCAATTTTATTTTTTCCATTCGCCTCCAGTACCACATTTCAAATGACTCCAATGTCTCTGTGTCTTTTAATGTTATTGTCCATATCTCGCTTCCATACAGTGCGGTGCTCCAGGTATTTTAGATAGGTATTTTAGAGGTGAAAATATGTTTTTTATTATGGAATAAATGTGGGATAATTAGCTGCACGAAAAAATATTCAACACAAGCGCAACTATTTTGCGCGATTTAACCTTCACTGGGTTCGCGGAGTAGCAAATTAATTTACTTCCATTTTTATTAAACTAATTTGTTTGTCTATTTTATCCACTGAGAGACTATAGTGGTAAACTCTTTAGATTACGAGTTAAGGTTTCAAATCCCTGTTCCCCCATGTTCTTCTTACCCCACCTGACCTTACAACAACAATGCGTCCGCGTAACAAGTTATACGGGTGATTGTGTTGCCCCCATACGTAAGCAACACGCTCACCATAACAATTACACCGCCACTCAGTTTTTAATCGCAAAGAAAGATCTAACGGTTACAATCACTCCGTACGTCACTGTGCGACTTAAATTGAAAAGTCTCATAAGCCTGTGATTAATTTCACTGACATATCGTCGGGGATAGTATAATTACGCGTAACTAGCATTGGATTATAAGTTTCCATTTCTTTAATTTATTCGCCATGAATCTGTCGTTACCAGTCCGTAGACGACAAAACTTAATGCTTACGGTGCAAGAATGAAAGTCGTAACCATTGAAATAACAAAGTGATAACGTTAAATCTCTCTCCTGTAAAAGTTGGTTCAGTGCAGATACGCGCCTTTTACCAATGCTTCATATACATATATGTGGTGTTTTTACATATTCTTGTGACGGTGTGACCTCCTTTCACTGTCATCTCACATTTTTGTAACGCCTCTCTCCTCTTGTATCCTATCATTTTTTTTATTTTACATGTATTTAAATTTTAAATTTGAATTGTTCCGTCTTCCTTCAAATTCCACACATTTTGTTTTCGTACCACGGTCACTCCCAGCTCGACCGCCACAACAGTCGGAGCTGTTCCAAATTCCATCGCGAATAATCGCTAATTTTGGTTCTTTACTACGTTTATAATCATTAAGTAAGGTAAATCATGTGTAATAATTTATAAGTCTACAGCCTTCGTGTACCTATATCTGTAATTCAGTTACTCGGCCCATTTAGGGGTAAGTGCCTTAACAATAAAGTGTAGGGAGAGTTTTATACTGTTGTACCTGTTTTTTTACATTTACCTTTTTATTGTTACAGCCCTTTCTTTAAACTTTAGTTCTTTAATAAATTTTGTGGACCGGAAGTTTCCCATTTCATTGCCGTGAACCTGTTCACGGCTAGTTAGGGTTACAACCCTTTCATTCTAATGGCACAATTGGGCACATTTCGCGTTTTCGACTGATGTTTACCTACGACAACGGCCGGGCGCGTTCCGAAGCGTAGCAGCGGCAACTAACCGCTTATAGCAAGGGTTGCCAAACTTTCTGGTACACCGACCACTTAGGCAAGAAAAAAAAATCATCGCCCACCACCACAAAAAATAATTGAAAACACGTATTTTTTATATTAAGTTAACACAAAAAATCACAAGGAAAAATTATGCATATTTGTAGTGTAGTTTATATAGACAGCATAAACCTGCCGCCCCCCCTAGGATTCTTCAGCGCCCACTGGAGGGCGGTAGGGACCACTTTGGGAAACTATGCTTTATACCTTCATAATTCATAATTCATTTATTATTTGCATAACATGGGTAACACAGTTCTTAAATATAGTTTATAGTTCAACCATGTCACCCTGAGGGGCACCGCAAATTTTTTCACTTACGATATACAATTCAAATCAATATTCTATAAAAGTTAAATGATTTATACAAAATATCAAAATAGTTAATAGTAAAAAATAATTGAAATTAACACAGTTATACTATAGGTAAAATATTGTTTAAACAATCTTAATTATTGATAATGTCAACAACATTTACAAGTTGTCACTGCTGTCAAAAAACTCTTGCAACGTGTAAAAACATTTATCTATTAAATAATTTGTAATTTTTTTATCAAAAATGTTGTTGTTAGTTTCATTTTTTATACATTTTGGGACCTTATTATAAATTTTTATGCACATAAAATGGGGGCCAGAACTGTGCATTTTTAATTTTGAAGGTGGAACCGGTATCCTGTGTCTGGGTCGTAGAGTTATTGGCTTATTTTCATTTGGGAATAGGTGTTTATGGTTCCTTATAAATTTAATCATTTGTAGGATGTATAACGATGGTAGTGTTAGTATATTTAATTTCTTAAAATGGGGTTTACAGCTTTCTGTTGGCTTTATATTGGATAGTATTCTTATGCATTTTTTTTTGGTATATAAAAACCTCACCTACGTTCGTACTGTTGCCCCATAATTCCACTCCATATCGGAGCCACGCATCAGCATACGCATAGTATGCACACAGGGCCGTCTTTAGGTCTGTGGTCTTTTTTAATTGCAATAAGGCGTATGTGAAGCTTGCCATTCTAGAGCATATTTTTTGGATATGTGCCTTCCAGTTTACGTGAGTATCCATCTCTAGGCCCAGTAATTTATTTACGTCGACGCATTCTATATGACTATTGTTATATGAGAAATTGATATCGACATTGCTCCTTTGGTAAGGGTGGAATTGCATAAGTTTTGTCTTTTCAATATTTAATTCCAAATTATGTACTTTAAGCCAGTTAGTCACTTTATTTAGGATGTATTCAAGTCGGGAAGTTAATGTATTTTTGTCGTCTTTAAGCGGGAACACAATTGAGATGTCGTCTGCAAAGATTACGCAGTGTTCATCGAACTTTTTGGGGAGGTCGTTAATATATATAATGAAAAGCAAACAACCTAGCACACTGCCTTGTGGGATAGACCCCAACATGTGGGTTTTGTCAGAATCTACATTTTGTATCAATCTTTTTTTGGGGGTCATGGAACTCTATCTGGACATATTGCTTGCGGTCAGAGAGGTATGATTTGAACCATTTATGTGCCAAACCCCTAACTCCTATACCATACAGTTTGGATAGCATTATCCTATAGGACACCTTGTCGTAAGCCTTACTCATATCGAGTTGGATACCGATTGCATTACTTTTATTATTTATTATATTAAGGATTTCGTCTACGAATTTATATAGGGCCAAGGTTGTAGATCTCTTTTTCCTGAAACCATACTGACTCTCATTGAATATATTAAATTTTTCACAAAACGAGTAAAGTTTGTTTGCAACAGTTTTTTCGATGATTTTTGCAAAGGTAGGTAGCAACGCGATAGGTCGGTATTGAGCGGGGTCACTTGTATCGCCTTTTTTGTGAATGGGTTTAATTTTTGATATTTTTATTGAGTCAGGTACTATGCCTTCGCTAAAAGATTGGTTAATAAGCAATGAGAGTGGAGCAGCTAGTTCATCGGCACACTTTCGTATAAGAGAAGGTGGGAAGTCATCATGTCCGAAACTGTTTTTATTTTTCAGACTACGAATAATCTTATGTACTTCACATTCGCTAACAGGAGTCAAATAAAGAGAATTTATAGGGCGATCGGAAACTGGTTCACCGTGTGCTTGTCCGTCTGTACTGCCTAGGGAAGAGAAGTGATCGTTAAAAAGATTTGCCACCGATTCAGGTTCTTCTACTTGCCTGTTGTTAGAAATGAGTTTAATATTTTTGTACGTGTGTTTGTTTGATTTATTGGTTTGCTCTTTAATTACTCTCCACATTGCCTTAGCTGCGTTGTTAGATTTTTTTATGGTTTGTATATTTTGTAATTTTTTTGACTTTATTACCAAACGTTTTAACATTTTTTCATATTGTTTGTAATGATCATTTAATATTATGTTATCAGTTTGAGAAAGGCTTACATTGGGCACGCGAAGAAGGTACACTTGCCACGTCTATAAGTCTGTGATTTCGACGGTGCCCAAAATTAAACCTGACACCTGCAAAATAAGAAAAAAAAATAGTACCTCTACAATTTCCGTGGAGCCGTATCGTACGGAGAGGTGTTTGGAGAAGCGCACGTATATGACGACGAGTGGCGACGGCGGCCGTCCGTGCATGTCACACAGCAGGTTGTCGCAGGACAACGCCAGCTCGCACAGCGGGACTTCGTTCATATCTAAAAAACATCGTTACTGTAAACGGAAAGCAGTGATCCACCTGATTAAATCAAATTCAAATTCAAATTTAAAATAATCTTTATTTCATAGGTAAGCATTATTACACTTGAAATCGTCACAATGGTTAAACTCTACCGCTCATTCGTAAGGCAGATTCCCCTGAGAAGAATGAGCAAGAAACTCTAGGGGTTGCTCTTTGTAAATAACATTTGTACACATTCAACATTTACAATATATATTTTTTACGTTTTGAAATGTTACTACCACGGATTTTTGTCATCCAAGTACGCAGAAGTTGCATAATAAATAAACCTTTAGTATAAAGTTTTTGTTTCACTATAGTTCTAAACCTCGTGAAAGGCAAATATTGTATATCAACCGGAATCTTGTTATAGAAACGTATACACTGCCCTTTAAATGATTTTTTGACTTTGTGAGACGACTATCAAGAACAGCTAGTTTATTTTTATTCCTCGTATTAATGTTATGTCTGTCACTATTCTTCTAAAAGAAATTACCATTCCTCATAACATAAATTACATTTTCATAAATCTACTGTGAGGCTAGTGTAAGAATGTTAATTTCCTTAAACTTATCTCTCAAAGATAAACTGGGGCCCAGATTGTAAATTGCTCTAGCCGCACGTTTCTGCAGGACAAGGATTCTATTGATATCGGCGGCATTACCCCAAAAGCAAAATCATTTTGGTGCATTCAGTACACGTATGATGAATTTAGTTACATCTTTCTCCTTGCCGTTACGTCATTATTGAAAGACATATCACACTGTTAATACAATAGTGTAATAACTCAAAAAGTGTATTATCTCAGAATCGCCGAAAAATTAATTTCTCGCTTCCCGTGAAAGATCTGTGTAAATTTATGTATAGGTTATTTCCTACTTGCCAAATATACATATTTAAAAATAAAAAGAGGAAAAATAATTTAATATTTTTGAATAAGAACTATTTAGGCCACCTGGCTATCGACGGTTTTAATGACGTGTAGAGAATCAAATTTTACGTTCAAAAATGATATAATCTCGAAATTCACAAATCTTGAGTTATAATACTATTGTAATAGCAGAGCGATATGTAAATTTAGAATAAAGATAATACAAAACACAAATTAGGCAATAGTAGTGGCTTCCCAATCATCTCCGCAGGAATTTTTTTATCTTTTTAAGGTTTAAATCTAGAGAATGTAAATGTAATTATTGCAAGTTCACATGGCAGATTATTATGTATATTTTTATATTAATACTTTCACATTACGTTGGAGTACTTATATTTATAACATTGTATGTAACACTATGTAATATCTATCGCTTACTTATTTGTCCCACATTCATACTTCGCAAGTAACATCTTTAGTATACATAAACATGTCTCACTGCATAACGTTACATAAACACACCTTACACATACACACCCCACACAAACACATCCCACACAAGCACACCCTCCACACTCGTGGTGCATATACAATACTTTCTTTTTTAAACTATTATAACTGTGGTTAACTATAGTTCACTCTGTTTGTATTTTCTGTATTGTAATTCTATACACAATTAGTGTACTGTTGTTAACCCGAAGACAATAAAAACAAAGTTGGCATACTGTATCAATTCTCTACAATATTTTACGTAACTCTACGTCTTCCGCGTATCTGAAAGAGAGTTTCAGAGTTTCCAAGTCCTCGGATAAAACCAGTCGCTGCCACTTTTTTTTATAAGTTTTCACCCATTTATTTGGGAAGACAAGTTTTCCACATAATAAGTAATACCAATAGAAAATATTTTTTTAATTTTCGCAATTACGGGAACTGATGCTATGAGCACTTGGCGGTATGACAGTTTTTCTTTAGTCCGATTTCCAAACATGTTTGAGAAAATAAAATTACACTAGAACCATCGGCTTTATTTGACTTGTTACAGTTATACTCAGAACGTGCTAAATTTTATTATAAATAAGACACTGAGCGTACAATTGGTTCAAATATCATATGACACATTTTTTATATTTACATACCAACACTATTTACAGATACATAGAACAGTGTTTTATAAATAAATTTTTCCAAGTACTGTTATTTCATCGTTAACCCTTTTAACATTTAGAGCAAAGAATGGTGTGTTTGTGAGTGACATGTGTTGCAGTATAAGTCAGTGAATGTTGCACGTAAGCTTTTCTTATGTTATCTCTTGTACGTGTACGTAACAAGCGTATCTGTACCTCTACCGCGACATTACTGTGACAGTTGTCGCTAGCGACCGCTTAAATTACTTCACAATTTTGTATGGCAATTTATACAGCGCCACAAGCGGTCAGGAGAAGAAACAACATTTTACGCAGTCGCTAGCGATAACTGTAACTGTAATCTCATGGTAGAGGCACTGCACACCGGGGCTCGGTTATACAAGGTAATGCTCAAAACTCAAATTTCAAATATATTAACGAAGTCGTAATAAAGTAGCACATCACGCGTAAAAATACTGAGTCCTTTACTGTAATTTTCTGTCTGAAGAAAAAGGTTTATTATCCCTGCTTCCTTGTTTACAGTGTTTCTAATTTAAAAAAAAGTTTTATACAGTTCTGCAGTAACCCAACACGGAAAGAAACGCAGCAATGAAAATTATTAATCGACTGTTAAATACCAATCAATAAGGGCTTTGAAATCAGTCCATCTGTTTGGCAAATACGATGCCACAGACAGATATACACACAAATTCTTCAAACTCCCCTCTTTTTGCGCGGAGGATTAAAAATATCATCTTTTAATTGCTCTAAAGGACAATTCACCTTTACGTTTGCATTAGGGTACATATAATAATGACATTCGCAAGTGTTAGCTTTGCTGCTTACGAGTTTCCCACGCGAGTACAGTTAACAGAAGGTCAGCGCGAGTCAACGTGGCGTCAGGGCGAAGGCATTTACTTTCATTGACATTCTGTCCCCATAAAACGGCTGCCCTTTATTACCTACTATATAGTACGTAAAGTAGATAAGGAACCAAGCATCTAATAGGTTAAAAACTGGAACATTGTACAGTTTACTTCATAGTTCAATTTGTAGAAGTTTGTCAATGTACAGTGCACTGCCAAAAAACAAAGCTTAAGAGTCGTATACTACCTAAATTCGAATTCAATTTTTTCCCGTGTTAATACGGTCCATTTTGCTTGAGCCGAGCGGCAATAAAAAAAGTGTATATTATATAGTGTATGTGTTTTATTTAGTTCTGTTTAGCTATATGTAAAGTACATATTGAATGCAGCGGTGAATGAAACTGCCTTCGTGGCCGAACGGTTACCATACCGGACTGCCACGCAGAGGTCCCCGGGTTCGATTCCCGGGCCGGGAGAAATATTTGTATGGCCTACATTTGTTTCTCTCGTGAGTTTGGGTGTAATTTGTGGTTGTCTATGCGTGTGTCCATGGCACCCGCGACACAGGGTTTCCCTAGTGCGGGGCTATGTTGAGTGTGTGCGTTATTATTATTATTATTAGCGGTTTTCTTGTAAAATTTCGAGGTACGTTTGTTTTTTCACACCGTATAATAATCAGTGGATATACTCAATTTTACTATATATTTTTTCTAAAGTGATTGATTCATCACTTTCACTGTTATGCGGAGTCAACCAAAGCCCTTTTGAGGTAGTACAGGCTCTTAAGAAAAAATTTCACATTTTACTCTTATCTTTATGCAATCCTTTCGTCTACGCTATGTATTTTATATGCTTATCCATCACATACACATTTTAGATAAGGCCTGAGGGGCCTTATCAATTGTTGAAACATAATAAGTTACAACTTAATAACACTCATATCATTTGTCAAAGGTAATGAGAGTTGGGGATTTTATGACCTTGTAATATTCTTTCATAATAAATGTCGACTTATCCGAAGAACAAAGTCCGATGTAATTATACAGCGAAAAGAGGATAAAGACATAATTTCGTTATTCAAACTAAGGCCTGTGGAATGGTGTTTTGAGAATTTTTATATTTTATTTCGTTTCGGAAATATAAAATCGAACAACAGTCAATCTGACATCCACAGCGAAGAAGAACGAACCAAATGTACTATGTCTTGAGAACAAGTAGTCTTGCACATAGACCTTTGTTCTACGGATGAGTCGATGTCCGTATTTCGTATTGCGTATCGACTCATCCGAAGAACAGAGTCCGATGTGATTATATAGCGAAAAGAGAATAAGTACGTTACGAGAATAATTTCCTTATTCAAACTAAGGCCTACGTAAAGGTGTTTTGAGAATTTATATACCTTATTGCATTTCGGAAATATAAAATCGAGCAACGGTCGATCTGACATCCACAGCGAAGAAGAACGAACGAAATGTACTATGTCCTGAGAAGAAATAGTCTTGCACATAGATCTTTGTTCTACGGA